TCCCCTCTGGGTGGTCCAGAACACACCAACTCCTGCTCTGCAAACTGTGCTGAGCTGTGCAACCTCCCACAGACAAAGCATGTCCCCAGCCACCACCTCAGGGGTTGCCCAAAGTACCTTCTTTTCTCTGCCACCCCTGTGCCACTAAAACCATGAGCGATATTGGTCCAGGGAGCCTGCTTCTGGTGGCTGCCTTTGCTGGGATTGCTGTTTGGGGTCCAGACCTCATGGTTGTGCAGGTTGCCACAGTAGGATCATGACCAGAGATTATGCTGAGTTCCTTCAGGCCCCAGCTGGGAGATTCTAGGCCCTGGGCTGGTCCTAGAGAGCACTGGTTAGTGCCTGCATGGAGCTTTCTCAGGTGCAGGCAGGGAGGGGATCAGAACCTGGTCATACTGTGTGCAGAGCACAAAAGTTCTAGGGAGCTCAGGCTGGCTCTCTCACCAGACTCCCTCATTAGGGAGTGGGAGTGCGCCCAGCTGAGCTGTGGTGCAAGCCACACAACCCAGGGGCTCTGCCACACTCTCTCTGGCAGTGGTGGTCCCCGGCGATGGCTGTCCTGGGTCCGTGGGCTTAGGCCCAGGCCCATGACCACCCAATCCCACCAGTTGCTCCTTGAGATCCTTTGCTCTTTTTGAGAGCTTTTAACCAGACTCCAAGTTAATGCTGGTCCCTAATCACAGGGCATTTTTGTATTGGGGTATTAGTTTCCAATGGGTCACTTCTGGTGGCTCCCTCCCCCTTCTATTTATCCTCCGCTACGAGTCCAAGAATTCCCACTCTGCTTTATCTCTCCACTGGCGTCTTCTGCCCCCATAGTGATCCAGAAGTGTATAATCCTACATCTCAGGCTGATTTTATGGGTGTTCAGAGTGTTCTGGTAGATAATGAGCTCATTTTAAGGGACTGGTTGAAACAGGATCTCCTACTTCTCTGCCATCTTGCCCCTCCCCAGCATTATTCTTGACCCCTTTTTTCTTTGAACTCTGGGTTTTCTGATATAACCCCTATGGTCCCATTTTGTTACTTACTAGGCTCTATATTTCTCACCAGGTTAGTGTAGTAGTTAGGAGTATAGACCCTGGAGCTGAACTGTCTGAGTACAAATCCTAACTTCTTGCTCCATGGATTTGAATTTTCCTCCCCTCTCCTTCTTCCCCTCCTCCCCCTTCCTCCCTCCCTCCTTCCTCCTTCTTTTCCTTCCTCCCTCCCTCCCTCCCTTTCTCTACCATTTCCTTCCTTTCCTTTCCTTTTCCATTTCTCTCCCTCCCTCTCTTTCTTTCTTTCCTCCTTCTTTTCCTTCTTTTTTTTATTGTTGGCATAAATTTTCCCTCTATGATCGTTGGTTTCCTCAGCTGTAAAATGCTGATGATAATTATATCTAAATTGTGCAGTTACTGAGATTAAATGAATTACATAATATTCTTCCTACCTGCTTGCATGAATGTGTTTGAGAATGGGACATTTTGCACATAAACAATGGCATCTTCTACTTTTATCTGGCCAACTTAAGATGACACCATCGTTTTTAAATTTGTTTCCCATTATTTACCTTTAATAGACATGTCCTCATGCTGCACTTTAATGATTTTTTCCTTTCTTAATATCTTACTTCTTAAATTTAGCATCCTTTTTGGTGTTATTTAAAATGCCTCTATTTATTTTTTAAGTAATCTCTTTGCCCAATGTGGGGCTCAAACTCATGACCTTGAGATCAAGAGTTGTATGTGCTATTGACTGAGCCAATGAGGTACCCCATAAGATGCCTTTAAATTTAACTACAAAAATTGTCCTCATGTACAGAAACTTCACATTAGATTTTAATTGATGAATTCTGAGAACAATAATGACTCATTTTAAGTTATAATGAAATTGTTCATATTATTCTATTTCAATTGCATTTTCTAGATATGGTACCATTATTATGTTCAATCACACTGAATTTATTTCATTTTAGGATTATATTTGTTCCATATTTTGAATGCATACTTAGCCAACAGTAACCTTTAAGAGACACCTTTTATTACTAGATGCTGGTCTTGAGATTATACTACATTTGGAGTTTCTGATGGAGTCTCTTTCCTGTACCCTGCTATCATTTCCATGGAGAAAACATTTAGGTTCTTTAACCAAACTAGAATTTAATTGCACTGAATTCATTATTCTGTGTTTTAACTCATTCTGTTTGTACTCATTGGTGACTCACATGATTTAGATCGCATGGGACATCTACCATTGTTGTGATTACAGACCTGCCTCTTAGAACTCCCATCTGGGGAGTTTGAATTCTGAATTTGTCCTCCTGGGGGTGGCTGTACATTCTAACATTAGGAGAGAGCTGTTTGCTTTGTAGTTGTTCTCTGTAGGACAAAAATGAGACAACACATTGTCTTAATTAGTTTTCATGTGAGATATGCTAGATAATACTTGCATTTTGATACTTTACATCACATGCTTGGTAACTTCAATATTATTCTATTATAGCTTCCCAGTCATTGTTTCTCTTCCCTCACATTAAAATCTTTGATTTTTAAAAGATATTTATTTATTTGACAGGGAGAGAGAGATCACAAGTAGGCAGAGAGGCAGATAGAAAGAGAGGGGAAAGCAGGCTCCCTGCTCAGAGAGCCTGATGTGGGGCTTAATCCCAGGACCCTGGGATCGTGACCTGGCTGAAGGCAGAGAGGCTTAACTCACTGAGGCACCCAGGCATCCCTAAAATCTTTGATTAAGTCACAGGGTCTTTGGACAAAAGTATTCTTTCAATTAATGTAAGATATACCTAGTCTTTTAGCTGGAATATGTTATTTTTTTAAAGACCAAAGTCCAGGAAACCAAACTCTCTTCCTTTCATGCCACATATGTAGACTATTGTTCTCTTCTTACCATGTCTCTTTTTCCCTGTGGTCATGGTAATCAACTGACAGAAGTGATAAAACAACTACTTGTGCTTTGGAGTCTTCTGTCCTACTCTGAGTTTCAAAGTGTCTAGAGAGGCTTGCTGGTTTGCAGGATTTCCTTCTTCTCCACATCAGTAGGTGTGGGTAGACAGTGACCAGTGAGTCTGATGATGATGTGGCCAGGGTTTGGGAAGGTTGTGCCTGCATGAGTCCAGAGGCTGTCCTCCCAGAGTGCACAGCATGTTGGCTTTGGCCAACATGTGGTTGGTCTTGTTCTTATATCCTCCCTCTGGAAAGATAGCATACCTTTTGATTTTTCTCCAGTATTCTATTTTTTTGTTGTTGTTGTTGTTAGTTTCAGAGGTAGAATTTAGTGCTTCATCGGTTGCATATAACACCCAGTGCTCATTATGTCAAATGCCCTCCTTAATGTCCATCATCCATTTATTCCTCCCCACCTCCTCCAGCAACCTTCAGTTTGTTTCCTGGAGTTCGGTGTCTCTTATGGTTTGCCTCCTTCTCAATTTTCACCTTATTTTATTTTTCTTTTTTTTTTTAAAGATTTTATTTATTTATTTGACAGACAAAGATCACAAGTAGGCAGAGAGGCAGGCAGAGAGAGAGAGAAGGGGAAGCAGGCTCCCCACTGCGCAGAGAGCCCGATGCGGGGCTTGATCCCAGGACCTTGGGATCATGACCTGAGCTGAAGGCAGAGGCTTTAACCCACTGATCCACCCAGGTGCCCCTATTTTATTCTGCTTTCTCTTCACCTATGTTCATCTGTTTTGTTTTGTAAGTTCCACATATAAATGAAATCATATGATATTTGTCTTTCTCTGACTGACTTACTTTGATTAACGTAATACCCTCTGGTTCCATCCACATTGTTGCAAATGGCAGGATTCATTCTTTTTGATGGCTGAGTAAAATTCCATTGTGCATATATATGTGTGTGTGTGTATACATATATACCACAATCTTCTTTACTCATTCATCTCTTGAGGGGCAGCTGGACTCTTCCCATCTTTTGGCTATTGTGGACATTACTGCTATAAACATTGGAGTGCAGGCATCCCTTTGAATCATTATGTTTGTATCCTTTGGATAAATACCTAATAGTGCAGTTGCTGGATCATAGGGTAGCTCTATTTTTAGCTTTATGAGGAACCTCCATACTGTTTTCTGAGTGACTGCATTTCTCCAGTATTCTAGTTGAGACAGGCTTATGCTTACTGGGGGGAATAGCCAAATAATATGAAGTTCTTCTCTCCTGAATCATCCTAGTGTCTATGGACATTAGATGGTTTCTCTTACAGAGTCTGAAGTTCCTCCTTATAATGCAAGGTTTCCCCTTTCTTCACTATACAATATTTCTTCACTTGCATATTAGGTTGATCATGATTTCTATTCACTCTTCAGAATATTCTTTTCTAGCTTCTTCCGGTGTTTTTTTTTTTTCTTTTTTCTTTTTCCCTGCTTTTTAAAGAATACTCACTATTTTGGCCAGCTCTGGCTACATAACAAAATACCATGACTGGATAGCTTAAACAATAGAAGTTTATTTTCTCACTCTTCAGGTGGCTGCAAGTCCAAGATCAAGATGTCAGCATGGCTGGTTTCTGGTGAGAGACCTTTCTTCCTGGCTTATAGATAGATGACTGCCTTCTTGCTTGTCCCCATGAGGTGGGGAGAGAGAGACAGAGAAAGCAAGCTCTGGTGTCTTTTCTCATTGAGGCACCAATCTCATCATTAGGGCCCCACCCTCATGGCCTCATCCAACCCTAATTACCTTTAAATGGCCCTGTTTCCAAACAGTATCACATTGGTTGTTAGGGCATCAACATAGGAATTTTGGGGAGGCATAATTCAGTCCACAGCACTCATTTATCTCCCAAAAGAACATGAGAAAAACATTCCTCACTAGGGGGGAGAACAACTGAACTTGCTCTTGTGCCCATGCCTGAATGCACCTGTTATATTGTAGCCTTCTGCTCCTGGGATTGGGTTTGTGCCTCTCCTTTCTTCAGAGACAATGAACTCCTTGAAGGCAGAGAGTTTGCCTTCCTTGCAGATTATGCACAGTAACAGAGTAATCCCTAAATGTCTGATGTGGTGCCTGGGCTCATTGGCCTCATTCCACGGATCAGCATCAGCAACGTGCAGCTGGCGGATACTGTCATGTTCACCATTGGAGCTCTGTCTGAATGGCTGGCTGACCACCCTGTCATGATCAACAGTGTTCTGCCCCTTGTACTGCATGCCCTAGGCAATCCTGAGCTCTCTGTCTCTTCTGTGTCCACCCTCAAGAAGATCTGCCGAGAATGCAAGTATGACCTGCCACCCTATGCTGCTAACATCGTGGCTGTCTCCCAGGATGTGTTGATGAAACAGATCCACAAGACGAGCCAGTGCATGTGGCTGATGCAGGCACTGGGCTTCCTGCTGTCAGCCCTGCAGGTGGAGGAGATCCTTAAGAACCTGCACTCACTTATCTCGCCCTACATCCAGCAGCTGGAGAAGCTAGCAGAGGAGATACCTAATCCTTCCAACAAGCTGGCCATTGTCCACATCTTGGGCCTTCTCTCCAACCTCTTCACCACACTGGATGTCAGTCATCATGAGGACGATCATGAAGGCCCTGAGCTCCGGAAGCTGCCAGTGCCACAGGGACCCAACCCCGCGGTATGCGCTATCTTTGAGAAGTCTGTTAAGACCCTGCTGGATGACTTTGCCCCCATGGTGCCACAGCTGTGTGAGATGCTGGATTGGATGTACAGCACCATCCCCCAGGCCTCTGCTCTTGACCTCACTTGACAGCTGGTCCACATCTTTGCTCATGAACCTGCCCACTTTCCCCCAATCGAGGCCCTCTTCCTGCTCGTCACCTCTGTCACACTCACTCTCTTCCAGCAAGGGCCCAGGGATCATCCTGATATTGTTGATTCATTTATGCAACTCCTGGCACAGGCTCTGAAGTGGAAGCCAGATTTGTTCCTGTGTGAAAGATTGGATGTCAAGGCTGTGTTCCAGTGTGCTGTGCTGGCCCTCAAGTTCCCCGAGGCACCTACTCTCAAGGCCTCCTGTGGCTTCTTTACAGAGCTGCTGCCTCGGTGTGGGGAAGTAGAACCCGTGGGAAAAGTGGTTCAAGAGGATGGCCGTATGCTGCTCATAGCAGTGCTGGAGGCCATTGGGGGCCAGGCCTCCCGAAGCCTCATGGACTGCTTTGCCGACATCCTATTTGCTCTGAACAAACACTGCTTCAGCCTCCTGAGCATGTGGATCAAGGAGGCCCTGCAGCCACCCAGTTTTCCCTTTGCCAGCCTCAGCCCTGAACAGAAGGACACCTTCAGCCAGCAGATCCTTCGTGAGCGAGTGAACAGGAGGCGGGTGAAGGAGTTAGTGAAGGAATTCACACTGCTGTGCCGGGGGCTTCATGGCATAGATTATACAGCTGACTACTGAGGGGCGCCCCGTCCCACCCACGCCTCCTCACCCCTCCCTATCCCCAAAGAGTAAACCTGGATCTTCACTGCAAAAAAAAAATAATAATAAAATAAAATAAAATTAATTTTTAATTAGAATTAATTAATAATTAATTAGCCCAGAATTAATAAGAGATTAATAAGCGATTAATAAGAGAATATAATAATAAAAGAATAAAAGTATTTATATATAATTAAAGAATAAAAGAATAAATAAGTGGTCTCAGTCTTAAACATGCCCTCAATGGTTTTATCACCATGGTTTTGTCAGTGCCCATTTCCTTGGTTGAACTTTAGTTCTTTTGGCTTTTCTTATTGACATTTCCATGTTGCTGGCTATTTTCTTGCTTTTTTGTGACAGGCAACACAGGAAGTTGGGCCTTTTAAACTATTTAGCACAGTTCTTTCCCTAGCTGCTATGCTGGATTAGCAGTGACAGGTTATTAGCATTTTTAGTCTTCTTCTGTGTCAGTTATCATTAATTATACACTTTGATATATTTGGAATCTTCATAGTTGGTAAATTTTTGAGGTTAAAAAGATAAAAATCCTGGTCTCTGGATGAAGACCAGAGGAAATAAAATAGAAAGCAAAGTAATGAATTCTGTTAAAAATGAAAGGTCTGTGAATCCAGACACTGACTATGACCAAGTGTGAGCTATTTTATTTCCTTGAGTGTTGCAGAGGCATGAAGCATCTCTGATTTCTCCAGAGTCAATATGAAAAGTCAGTCAAGTAGCTGGAGTTCTATTTCTTTTATGGGAAATTAGGCCAGGCTAGAGAGCACATCAGAGCAGTTTTTGCATATTTTTGAGGTGACAATTGAAAGGGCATGTCTCTCATTAGTATTAGTCACGAACAGCTCAACAAGCCTAGAATATGACAGAAAAGGTAGGGCATTGGAGCAGATTTAATACTCTAGCATCACAGCACCTTGACAGGGAGGGCATAAAGGAAGCTGCAGAGGCATATCCCACCCTCTCTGTGGCTTGGCGCACTACATGTTTTGTTTGGCTTTTTTTTTTTTTCGGGAATCAATGTAACTGCTGAAATTTATTTTATTTTATTTTTTTACTGCTAACAATGGTCTCAACCAGACATCAAATAATAGCTTTTTTTTTTTTTTTTTTTTTTTTTTTAGTGATTCCATTGATTTTTTTCTTGGCTCTAAGAAAAATTGAGAGAGCAACCCCTTACATAATGTTTAATAAAATGTTAGCTATAACGAAGTCTAGTGACACATATGATTTTGTGAATAGACAGAACTGGTAAGCAGTTGTGGATGAAAGGAAAAGTAGAGAAGGCAGGTGAGAAGCATTAATGTGTCATGGGGAGTCAGTGTGTTTTACAAAAGAAAATAAAGCTTCAGGGATTTAAGTAAGTAGGCAAAGTGGAAGGTGGTTAAGAGGCCTCTTCATAAGTGGAATTTTAAAAATATTTATTTACCTTTAATGTATATAATACCCATATAATCTATATATATGTACAAATGTGGATTAAGTCACACAGACATTAGTGGACAACACTTTTCTCAAGAGTTTGGCTCTATTTTGTGTCACGACTTTGTCTGCCCTTCACTCAGCAGGCACGTCTTCTTGCCCTCAATGTCCTGCTGCTGTATTTAGCATTTTTGTCCAGATGTCTCAGCTGAGTTCCCAATCTTTTTGATTCTTCTAGGGCATGATTCGGAATCTTTCATCAAAGACAGCTCTTGCCAAGTTCATTTTTATGATCCTGTTTTGTGAAGCACACTTCATTTTTTCATACTTCAACAGATTTAAAACACGATAAAGATTTCTGAGGGCTGTGATAATCTATGGACTCATGCAGATCTGTCAAGGTATTGAGAGGAAGCAATTGCTTCTTTGGTGAGAACGATGACATCGACTGTACCTTAAAGTCTATGAACAGCATTCGAATGGCAACCCGACATTAATCAAACGATTTCAACTTTGTTCTTGGCTTTGTTTGTGGTCAGCCATCTTAAAAGTTAGGCATCTATAACAGAATTCAATAGTAACACTTTTAACAAATGGTGATGTTTGCCACTGAACCTGGCAGTCATGGCTACTGGCTGGATGACACCAACAATCAACACTTTGAACTTTATAGAGGACTCATAGCAATTGGTCTTCTGAGATGCAAAACAGGCAATGCTCAGAATTTTTGCAGGAAGAAACATGAGAAACCCAGAGGATATAATTTCAGAATTACCAGTTGGGTCTATACCATGTCAGGATGCTCAGATGAAAAGGAAAAAAGGCAGTTGTTCATCAGTGCACAGCATCAGATGCTCCTTCATGTTGCCTAATTTTTATTTCTGGTTCTGAGAAAAAATTCCCAAAGCAAAGCCACCAATTTATGCATTGCCGTTTACTTCCACACATTCCTGCATGCCTGTGGAAACATGAAATGTACTTCAGGGAGAGGGTAGGAAATTATCTGGGCAGTGAGCTAGATGGCTGAGTATATAAGGTAAATGAGATAAGAATAAAGTCTGGGAGGGACTCACATTCCAGTGAGGTAGATAAACATCTCCCCCAATACATGGAAAATATGTAAGGGAGATGGAGGAGAAACTCCTTGATTGAGGAAGGAAAGGAAGCATTCACAGAGGAGGTAACCTCTGAACTTTAAAGAGAATTAAACCATTGCCAGGCAGACACAGCCCAAGATGGTAGAGCATGCAGCGAAAATGCCCTCTTGGGGATGTATGAATAGGCCACTCCCTATGAAGTGGAAATAGCTTAAACCTTTGAAATCACTTTTTCTTCAGTTACTTTTGACCATTATAAGATAAATAATATACACAGAAAACTTGTTTTTAACCAAGCAACCTATTAAGAGCATTTTTATGAGAGACTCATAAGATCATACTTGCCATGAAGGCTTAGTGGGTATTCATGAGAGCTGTGAAGGGGTTCTAGGCAATGGAAAGCCATTATATATTTTATTGCAAGGCTCTGAAGTGTTCGTGTGTGTGTGTGTATGTGTATGTGTGTGTATGATTTGGAGAGAAAGCTAAGTGGCATTATGAAGGATACATTTGGGCAGGGATTGGGGGAGTCTAGAAGCTGAGCCATCCATGAAGAATCTCAAATAGTGTAGGTGAAGGAGTATGAACTACAGTACTGACAAAGGAAAGAGAGAATACAAGACTAAATTATTTCACAGGTGGAATTGACCAAATATTTATTCAGTTATTGACCATTTAATCATTCATTTAATATTTTTTAAACAGTCTTTTTAAAGCATTGTTCTTTGAGGAATAGAAAGATGATAAGTTTTAAGGCGCTTACATTCCAGTAGGTAAGTCAGAATCACATTATATTAATTAGGGTTCTCTACAGAACCCTATGAACAGAACTAATAGGATATATATGTCTGTGTGTATGTACATGTGTATATGCATGTGTGTATATACATATTTGTGTTTATGTGCATATGTGTATATGTATATGTATTTGTGTTTCTGGTCTATTTCTTTTGATGTATACATATATCTATCTATTTATTGATTGAGGGTGCTTTATGGAATTGGCTCACATAATTATGGGGACTGGCAGTTCTGAAATCTGCAGGGCAGATCAGCAGGCTGGAGAGTTGTGAGCACCTGATGCTGTACTCTTGAGTTGGCAGACCTCAGTCTTTTCTTTTAAGGCCTCAACTGATGGACAAAGCCCACTGACATTATGGCAGGTAATAATCTGCTTAACTCAAAGTCTACTGACTCAGATGTTAATATCAACTAAAAAATACCTTCACAATAACATCTAGACTTGTGTGTGACTTAAAATTGGGTACCATGGCTTAGCCAAGCTGACATGTAAAAGTAACCCACCACACATATAAATAGCTAAGAGAAACATGTGTGTGTACAAGAAATTGTATTTGAGTTGAGTTTTGAAGAGAGAGTTGAGGGAAGATATTTGAACTGAAAGAAACAGCATGAAAAAAAGGAGGGAAATGAGGAAAAGCAGAGTGACTGCAGAAAATTATCATTTCCTTAGATTGGCATGAATGACAAGGAAGAGAGTGATGGGAACTAAAAGTAAAAGAGGAATTCTTGTATTCTATGAAGACTGGTATAAGTAATTTGACTTCATTCTGCAGGCAGAGGGAGTCCACCTAGTTTGACTTCATTCTGCAGGCAGAGGGAGTCCACCTGAGTTTTTTGTTCAAAGGGTTGATTTTCTTTACACTACCATTGAGTTTCATCTGACAGCCATCTCAAATCAGGGCCAGCATGGAGTTATTTGGTTTCTGTGGGGCAATTGTTCTTCCTTCTTGTATAATAATGCAGAATTATTCCCTCCAAAGATAGCTGTGAACAAGACTAAAACCATAATTTAGAGATTCAAGATCATTCACGATCATTATTGTTAGAAAATGCTTGCAATTATTTTATAAAAAGATATTACCTGTTATAAGAAGAGGTCATAAATGAAAAAGAACCTATAGGTAAGATGTAATTCTTCAAAAATGACTAGATTTGGAAATAAATTCTATTATCCTGCCTGAGTTCTTTCTTTAAACCCTTGGTGAACTTGTTGATAAAAATTTATGTAACACTGGTTAAATGCGTGGCTGAAATGAGCAGATAGATCATTCTCCATTATTTACTCTTTTATATCAATGATCCTTTATTTAAAAAAAAATTTCACAGGTGTTCATTAACCAAACTGCGTTAACTCTAACCTGACTTTGGTTAACTCTAACCTGCTCAACTAACGTGTTTCTTGTATTGCTTATGCTGTAGGTGGGGCTTTCATCTTTTTGTGTTTATAATTTATTTTGTATATTTTCAGGACACTGAGTTGTGGTACATTCTCTATTATGCTGAATCATGGATTGACTTAAAGAAACAGAAGTTTGATTATGTTTTTCTAGGGCAAAATACTCACAGGCTTCAGAAAAGATTTGTATCCATGTTATTGGGGAGTTAATGGTAAAGGCTTTGCCCTTCCCAGCCCCTCACAGTTCTTTCTCTATGGGACCATCTTAGAAAGACGTTCCGTGTAGCTAACTTGCTGTTCTTTAAGAGGTGTTTCTTTTTT